ATTAATTCTTTTATCTTTTATCTTTTAAAGATAAAGATGGATGAAAAGATGAAACTTTATCATTAATTATTGGAATGAATAAAAAGTTTTTAAAATTATTAAATAATATTAATTAAGTATAATAAGACAAGTGAGAATTAATAGAGTATATTAGGTTCTAAAAGAATGTGATTGGAGAATGATTAGAGAGGAAACAACAACACACCATGAGTATGTTAAGTTATAGGCAATTACCCTTGTCACTCAAAAATTCACCAAAAATTCCTTGGAACTCCAATATATGTGAAAAGTGGTATAATCAAGGTTAATCCTAGCATGATTTTTCTTTCTTAAATCTTGTGGCTATCCAATCCGAAATGCTTGAGATATGGTTTTTCTAAATAGAGTTGCTTGGACTGCCTTTGCAACACCCTTCTACTTAAAAATTTACTAAAAATTGGTTAGTGATTCAAAGTTAATAACTCTATATTTTCTTAGAACTATACTTAGCAAGATTCTTTTTACAATAAGATTTGATGACTTAACATAAGTATGTATTAAGCTACGTTTTTCCAAAGTTAATTGTTCTAAACTACTAAGACTATAGATCCATCCTCACTCAAAAAATCATTAAATATTTTTTATAACTTGGAAGTTAGTAACTCAAATTTTCTAATAAACTAGACTTTCAATTGCATTCATAATAGTAAGTCTTATTAAAGTTGAATTAGAGGTCACTAAGTTACAAATTTTTGAAGTTAATGCTTTTATGTTGCCAAGAGCAATAGACCCCTCCCACTTGGAAATTTGCCAAAAACTTTTCCAAGCTTCAAATTACTCGTGGCTTATGTTGTTGAAAATCTGGTAACTAGAAAAAGATGAATACCAAATATTGCTTAAATAAAAGAAAAATTGAGTGATTCAGAGGAAAAATACCAAAGTAGGTATAAGGTGGGAGTAAATTTCCTTCAATTAAAAGTCTAGAAACAACATGGTAGGGCTTCGCCTTACAAAAGGGGGAAAGAAAGATGGAGCTTGACCACCCAAGACCTCTTAACCAAGTAGGAGGAGGCCCAAAGGTGGCGGCCATATCTCCACCATCCATATCAAAAAACCCCTAATCAAGATCAAGGGTCCACAATCACTTTAATTCTAAATCCGATTCTAAGATTGGAAATGCCTATAACTCAAAAACTAACACCTTTTTGATAAAAACTAATACCACCAATGTTTCTAAAACACATTTTTATTCCACGGTTGACTATTCACAAGCCCAAATCTGAGTTCTAAATCATAAAAATTAATTAATTTACTAATTTAGTTATAAGTTTTAATTATAATTCTAATTTTAATCATTCTACTTGGACATAAATAAGGATTCTTGCTATCATAGCCATCATGGTAACTATTCTTCAATTTAAACTCCCTTAAATACAACCTCTTAGCAAATCCAAGATCCAATTGCAATTTCGCCTTGAATTAATACACTTGTGATTTTTTTTCTTTTTTTCTAATTTTCAACTCCGAATAGTGATTAAAATCACTAAGAGAGGAAATTACACCATAACAATTAACTCACCTCTATCTTATAGAAATCATCATTAATTTAATAATTAGACTTTATGTTTTTAATCCATTTAAATCACAATATGAAATTTAAGCTTAAATTATCTTAAAATTAAATGAGAAGATAGAGCAATTAGTCTTAAGGGATTTTCTAACCATAATAAAATTAAGAATTAGCCTTAGAGTTGAAAACTTAGATTATAGAGTAATTCAAGATATAATTTTTAAGACTTAGAAGAGAAATTCTACTAAAATTCTAATTTTAGTATTAAAAAAATAAACCAAATTAAGAAAAGAAAATGAAAGATCTTCTAAACTTACTATTTATAGAGTTTTTAATAATTAATAAATCTAATAATTATAAGTATCTACTTAATTAACAATCTAAAATTACAAATAAAATTATAATTAACTAAAAAACTAATTTAGATCTATAAATTAATCATATTAGCATTAAAATTAATAAAAATATGTTAAAATCACAAAAGTGATTATAACTAGCCATTGGAGCTATTAATTGTGCTCACATAACTTAAAAGAATAGATATTTATTCACAATTAATATAGTATTAAAATTAGAATGACTATTATTAAATATAGAAAGATTAAAATATCTTGAAATAAGACTAAAGACTAGAAAGACATTGACAAGAGTGAAGAAGGCTTCATCCTTGCCTCTATAAATACTATCTAACTAAAAACTACATGGCAATGTTTTATAAGATCTTTGATATATATTCAATTTGTAAGGTACATGTCTTAACTTTAAAAGTAAGTTTTTTATATGTGCACCATATTATTAGCTTATAACACTACCTATCAACTCATGCGATATGTGGCTAATTTCTTGGCCAAGTTTTTAATCTATAAATCACTTAAAGACATATATAAAGATAAAACTATGTCTATAAAGCTTTTAAGAAGCTTTTCTATAAGCTTATATATTATCAAATTAATCTACTTTTATCTATTTATAATATCTAAGTAATTATGGGAATAAATATGTATGTCTATAATACTATGGATAAAATCTATAAACATTGCCATCTTTTTATTGAATTGATTACCAAGAAAAGTACTTTTGTACAAAATCTAATTTCAAATGTTACCTAATAAACATCTAGATCCGTCAATCTTTTAGATTTTTGGATCAAAAGTCTATATCTAAATTCAAAAAGACAAACACAACAAAGTCCAATTTTAAACTAAGTCCATTTTATTTCTAAGATATAACCACATAAAAAATTCTAATAAAGTATGCTGGCTAAATAAGTCTCTTTATAGACTAGTTCAATAAGAACAATGTATTCCTTGATATATACAACTTCTTCAAAATAGAAGCCAACTATAGTCTTTACTATCTCCACAACAATAACTACATAACCATTTTCATATTCTACATTGTTGTGTAATAACATTGCCATTAAATAAATGAAGAAGAAAAGTATTTTATTATAAGAAAGCCTAATTAAAAATATATAATAAAAAAATATAAATAAATGATAGGCATATAGTAAAATTTATTAGTATTAGAATTGACTTTTATAAAAATGGATTCTATTTACTTTGTAGAACCAAAAATAAGACAAAATAAGATAGATTAAAAAAATAAAGAATATAAACATATGTAAGAGGAAATTAAGAGTTGATTTTAGCAAAAATTACCTCAAGAAGATAAGAATTGATATCCAAGAAATACAAGTTGCCAACCATGGTCAAAATCAAATCTTAAGGCACAAAATTAAACACCTATAGTGACTCTAGGGATCTTTTGCAAATCAAAGAGTGGAATTTGAGAGCAAAATTAAGAAAAGATGTTTTAATGTTGATTTATGTAATTTTGATTAAATTGATGGATTTTCAAAATAAATAACATTTTTGGTGGATTTGGATTTTGAGAAATAAAAATAAGTTTGCAAATTTTATGATTTCATGAGTTTTGTAGCATGTGTATGGATGAAATTTGGATAGTTTGTTGTTGTGCTTGTTGTAAATATCATGAATATGTGTAAAAAATTTAAAATCAATTAATCAATTAGATTGAAGCATATGAAGCTTTTGTGGGTTATGGTCTCAAAAATTTGAGATTTAGAATCAATGAATGATTTCGAGATCTAGCAATATTTGCTAATTGAATTGAAGCAAAATTTGATGAGAGCAATTAAGACTTGAATACTTACATACAATCCAATTTTTGGAGCAATTGAATGATTTAGCAAAGAAAAATTGATATTGAAAGATCAACATTCAAATTAGAGAAGAAAGACAGCCAATGACTAAGATTTTGGAAGATTTTTTTGCAATTGGTAAGTCCAATTCTTCTCAAATTTTGTATATTTATTAATTGCTTGTTGATTGAAGTTTGCATGAAACTTTAATCAAGTCCTATGGTTCAATTAATATTTATTTAGGTTTCAAATAGCTATAATAATTCATTGAAAGTTACTTAGAATTTTCTTAAAATTTTTTAGGATTTAGGATTTAAAATTTGCTTAGGATTTGGCCTAGAATTAGGAATTAGAAATTTCCTTAGGTTTTGATTAGGATTTTTCTAAAATTTGATTAAGATTTATTTAAGATTTGATTAAGATTTGTTTAAGATTTAATATTTCATTAAGATTTGGTTGGAATTGGTTTAGGATTTCATTAGGATTTATTGAAAGTTACATTAGGATATGATTAAATTTCAATTAAGATTTCTATTTTTGTAATTTTTAAAGATTTTTTTATTATATATATTTCATTAAAATTAATTTACAATTTCTTTATGTTTCTTTTGTAAGTTCTTAAGACTTCTTTTGGATTTAATTAAAGATTGATTAGCATTATTATAATTTAATTGAAGTTTATTTAAGATTCTATTAGTTGTTAGAATCATCTTATTACAAGTTCTATTTTTCCTTCCACTACTAGGTGTTCAATACATTTTTAAGCAAATTTCATACAACAACATTGACAACTTTGTGTTTATGGATTCAAACTCTAGTAAAATAATATGAATCAAGAACCAACTCATAAACCTCTTTGAAATATCAATTCTTGACAAGATCAATTTCAACAAATATTACAATTCAAGGATTATAACAGTCACATCTATAAGCCGCAAATCAAGTCCTCCGATACATAAGAGGCACCCTAGAATTTGGAATTCTTTACAAATGACCCCATAGCTCAACCATCTTTGGCTTCACAGACTCTGATTGGGCAAATTGTAAGATCAAAAGAAAATCCGTCACTGGTTGGATGTTCAAATTAGCATGAAGACCAATTTCATAAGCATCCAAAAAACAACACAATGTCGCAATATCTTCAACAGATGCAAAGGCAAGGGCACTAGCAGAAGAAATTTGAGAAGCCATCTAACTTCAGACACTAACATCTAGAATTCATGGAACTGATCAAGAACCCATTTCTTTCTTATGCGACAATTAGAGCACACTAAAATCTGCTCACAATCCGGTGTAACACGATGGATTTAAATACATGGAGATGTAATTACACTACATGCGGGAAAATGTACTTACAAGAATAGTAGATTTGTTCTACATATCAACACATGATCAGATTGCAGATATCTTCACCAAAGCCAAAAAAAAGAACAAATTTGTCAAGCTTAGAAGTAAAATGGGAGTCAATACTTAAGTTTGTTATCAGAATCCTAAATAAGATCCAGCTTACAAAACCCTAGAAAAACGTAATTCCCTAGCACAAAATGCTCAGCTTCCTCCATAGTTTTAAAACTTTTGTGGATAGCGCCCCTAAACTTAGTCACCTGTCTCTTGCAATCCGTCCACCTGTAGTAAATCCCAGGGCAAAGTCCATGTCAAACCGCGTAGAACCTCGACTGACAGCCAACACAACCAAACTCATCTCCCAAAGAAACCAACTCCTCCGATCGAACCCCATCAAAACTTCCACTGCCTACACGAATTCGCAACAACAAGAAGAGAGCATCCAGATACCAACCACAAACTTGATGAAGTGCCGCCAAGAGGAACCAAAAGCTCAACAGAAGCATTTGAATCTGGTGTTTACAAGTTCATTACATTAAGTGTAAACACTCGCAATACCTTACACATCCCATCTCCAAACCACGAAGATAGACTCACCATCAAAAAAAATTGGATATCACGACGACTAAAACCTACCTAACCATGCATCCTCCTGTAACTTGGTTCTGAAAACTAGGAATACTCTGATTTCGTTGTCTCATCGAAGTACAACTTATCAAAGACTCTAAGTGCGGGGGAGGGGGGGGGGTGTTGGAGATATCCACTTCGAGATTCACAGAATTCTATCAGAGAAGTTCATAGACGAACAACATCCATCCATTCACTTGACCTAGTATATGTATAGTTCCCGTGCTCATCAATAAACAGTGTTGTTATACTCTCAGTATCTCTACATATGTATGTATTCGGTTAGAGGGAATTGTTCAGGACACCGGTTTGCGCCACAGTATATCCTTTCATTGCTCACCATGGCAGGACTAGGTTCTGTGTGGGTTCGTGTGTTGACTGATTTTACTGAAGAATGGTTGCTTGCTTTACAATTATCTCTCTAGGTAGCAAGAGTGAATCAGTCAAAGTTCCAATTGTTCAAAAATTCGCACATAGCAGGTCGGATGTAGCACTGGAGAACGTTGGGAGCGTCGGAAGTCAACAGCCCTATGTCAGGGTTTAGGGTTTTAGGGTTTGTGAGCATTCGCAATTGTGGACTAAGTTGAAAGTTAGGTGTGCAGATTTGGTTACTTGACGTATTGGGTATCATACTGTCTGGTGGCTCAAAAACTGCGATTGTGATCTTATCCGAGTACATGGGGTGCAGTAGTTAGAGTTTCAGTGGAGAGTCAAGTCTGAGATATTAGCACTACGAGTCATTGAGGCAGTGCACAATGTTGACATGATGGCGTGGGGAATTCTCATTCTTAGTCTTATTCAAACTCCTTGAATTGGTGGTTAGCAAATTCCGAAGATACGTTCCAATTTGCTTAGCAATTAATTTTCTTCGTCTTGGAATCTTTGCATCGCTACCTTGTATGATTTTCGGACGCCGATGTCCCGAATACGGCAGTCCAGCTGTTGGTGCGAGCGTTCATCTTCGCTGATTTGTATTTCTTTCTACTTTTCAAATTTTATTAATTTCTCTGGGCAGTACCTTCTCATTGTTCTCGTCAAGTATCATTCAATGGTGCAAATAGCAATCGTTTGGGGTTAAGCAAAGCGCCTGTTGCAGCCACTGAACCCTTGGTAGAGTTTGGGAGGGTATGTTTGCGATGGAGAAGCTTGTCGTCGGGGTGAATGAGGCGAGTGGGATTTTACGGGGTGCAAGGCTTGATTGCCCCAGTGATTCTAGGTCTTCGCCGAATTTGAGTTCGAATGGAGGTTTTTTGGGCTCAAGCTCCGTGCGTCTTGGTGGGCGGATTTTTGGTAGACCAAATTGTTCTCAGGAGTCGAATGGGGTTGCGAAGACAACCAAATTGATTCATTCGCGTAGTTTGGGAGTTTTTCTTGGGAAAGATGTGAACGATCGAGAGGAGGTTAGGTCTGAGCTCATAGCATGGCGTGATGGAGCAAGGGCATGGAAAGCGAAAGATGAAAATGTAGGTTCCACTTCCTATCAGCAGTCGTCACGAAATTCATCGGAATTGAGAAATTTTTTGCAGGGATATGAGGGTTGGCAGGGAGAGAAGCCAGCCAAACCCCACAATAAGATATTTGGGCGGAAGAAGAAGAGGAAATATGGAGAGAAAATGTTGAAAATGCTAAAGGCTCTTGAGGAGAATCCAAGTATAGACGAGGCTCTAGCTCCATGGAAAGGACTGTTGAGGGAGGACGAACAGGGGACGCTACTCGATGAGCAATGGAGATGTGATCGTGCATTCCAATTGTTTACATGGTTTAATGAACTGGAAGGCTATAGGCCCAATACTTGCCACTACAACATAATTCTCAAGAAGTGTGGGAGAGCACAGAAATGGGACTTGGTTCGGAACCTGTGGTCCGAAATGCAGGAAAGGAATGTCATGGCGGATAGTTACACGTACAACACGTTGATTGACGTTAATGAAAAGGCGGGACGCAAAGCAGAAGCAACGTTTTGGTTCGAGTGTTCCAAGCAACAAGGGTTTCTCGACGAAGTGGCGATTGGCAGCCAGATTAATGTGCTCAAGGAGTTTGGAGATTTCCAGGAAGGGAATAAGCTCTTTGAGTCTCTGCCCAATACTCTTGCTCAGCTGACTAGCACATCAGGTATTGAGATGCAAAAGCACTGTCGAACATTTTGTCTTGACGCAGCGGCTGGACTATGGGTACCATTTCGAGCTTTCCTGTTTTGCTAAATGCAGGCATTATATTTGTGAGATTTTTCTTATGGTTTTTAAAAACTGTCTGACGCTCTAGGGATGCATCCTGGTTATGAAGGCAAGGACGCTTGTGAGCAGATTTCTGGATCGAATGGGAGTAGTATTGGCAGTGAAGGAGATGTAGGAACTTGTGATTCAGCTTTTGAACGTTTGGAGAATACTGCAAGTTCATCGCCTAGAGAGAAGGCTTCAGGAAGCTCTGAGCAGTGTTCCGATGATTCTGAACATTTAGAAGCAGAGGCTTTGAAGGCACCCCCTCATCCAATGAAGGTTGACACTTACAATATAATGATGGACCTACATGGTAAAGCTGGAGACTTGGAAAAAGCATCCATGACGTTTAGAGACATGGTAAATGCAGGTGTCGACCCGGATATAGTGACTTATAACACAATGATTCATATATGTAGCCGAGCAGGTCGTGTTCGGGAAGCAAAATCTTTGTTTAAGAAGATCAGTGAGAAGGGTTTGGTTCCTGATGTAGCTTCTTATAATACACTAATCTCCATGTTCATTAAGAGAGGGGAAAAGCAGAAGGCTCTTCAGTATTATCAGAAAATGAAAACAGCTGGTGTAACTCCCGATACAGTCACCTTCCGCATTCTTCTCAAGCATTCAATGCTTACAGCAGAAGGCATTGGTTCAAATTTGGAACTTAGCAAGCATATTACCTCTGTGATGGAAGAACTTTCCTCAGGAATCGGGGAAGTTATGCAAGAGAGTGAACTCGCGCAAACAATCATGCTTAATTTATACAAGAAAGCAGGTCCACGACTCACTTTCTTCAGCTCATTCTTTTGCACCTATCTTCGTTCATGGACTAAGGAAACTTGATTTTAAAGCGTTGAAAGTGTTATTATGTGCAGCTGACAGTAAAAGACTCCGTTGGGTTACATTTCGGTTGTCTCATGTTCAAATAGTGTTTCTATAGTAGGGACAAGTTGATCCCTAGGTAGTGATAGCCTGACTCCCATCTAATTGAATTGTGCATTCCTTCTTAACAGTCAGTTCCGTTGTATGACACCAGGGATGAAGGAGTTGGCGGTAGCAGCGGCTAAAAGAATACGGGAAGCTGGTCTTTGGACAAACTTAGTTTCCTTCAACAGCGTGCTTGAAATGTCGCAGTCTCTGTCAGAAGCTAGAGAAGTCTTTGACAGTATGCAAGAGAAGCAAATCATACCAGATATTTCCACATACAACCGTATGGCAGGTGTATTTAAAAGAGTAGGGCTATATCACGAAGCTTTACTAGAAATTGAGGATGCCGACTCAGCTGGTCTGCCTCTCAACTTACATATTCTGACAACAGCCGCAAGTTTGTATTCACATTTTGAAATGCACGAAGAAGCCTTGGAAGCTTGTAGGGCTCTGCGAAAGTGTGGATCCACCCTTGACGGACCAGCTTATAATGCCATGATTTACGCTTTTGGGAATGCTGGCAGAGTGGACGAAGCTGTACGAATATCGATGGAGATGCAAAACAAAGCAGTAAAGGCCGACGTTATTACTCATACCACAGTGATAACTGTTTACGCTAAGATGGGACTCATGGAAGGAGTATCAAGAGTTTATAAAAGGATGAAAAGAGCCCAATGTGAACCTGATGAAGTCACCTACAAACAGTTGATATGGATTTATAAGAACTCTGGGCGAGAGGACTTGGCGGCCATGATTTTCCAGGAAAGGCAGTTTGCGCGCTACTTGGCTAATTACTACAGAGATGATAATACTGCCGAACTTTCTTCAACGGACACGGAAGAGGATTATGAAGAAGAAGCAGAAGAAGGAGAAGAGGCAGCCGAACCCTGATTCGTGTATCAGCATATTGGACGTCGACAAATGTGGATGAGATTCACACAGAAAGCAGTGAAGATTGGTATGCAGAGGTGTTCGTATATAAGTGAATAGATTGTTTACGTCAACCAGTCAGACGTACTGGACAGTCAGGTATTCTGTCGTTGTCTCTTGTATATCCAGTGCTAACCGCTAAATGGTTATCCTTTTGACTTCGTGCTTGTACGGATAGCTGTCTTTTGACATTTATTACTGGCTGGAAATTTTGCTTCTTGCTTCATAATGAAGTGAAGTGCTTCTGGATCAGTAACATGTTGATGTTAATCAGTAAATTGTGAATTGTTTTGAACAGTAAGCACGGATACGATTACGATTGAGAAGGTTTCGGCACGTGGCAATACTCAACCAGCTCTGTAATTCAACACCGTCAGAAGGTGCAGAGGCATCAATCAACACGAAGAGAGTAGTGATGTGCCCATCAGGTAATAATCTTCAGAATATGGTACATATATTTGAAATATTTTGCGACAGGAGAATGATGTAATACCCTTCAGATCTCGAGTACATCTACCTTGGTTTCTCGTTCGATTTTTCCCTGAATTTTTGTAATATATGTGAGTACATACATTGTCCTGTAATTGTAGCAACCGTTTATGAGTCCCAAGCCGCTCGGGATCCTCTTGCCACCTGACTCGTGCCTTCCTATTCTCAATATTACTGCCCATCGTCTCTGACCTATGAAGTCCTCCGATGTCATGGATTGCCCACATCCACATTTTCGATGTACATACAAATCCTTGCTTACCAGTTTATATTCTTCAAATGTAACAGTCATTATATTTTTTTTTTCTTTGTAGGACCTCTCATGTTTTGATTTGATAGGAAGCTTGTGTGTAAAGTGGAACTGCTGGACTAAGAAACAGAACGATCCGGTTAATATACAAGTTGAGACGAATTTTTCGGGTGAAATCAAGGAAAGCCACATCTCTTTTCAGCAGATCTTCACCTTACAAATGCATTCAAATAGGGATCCATGAGAGGTCACAAGCAACCAAGAATGTTAGACGATGAATGGTCGTCACTGAGAGAATGTTAGAATACTGAGACCAATGTGTACTTTCATGCATTTGTGCGTGTATAGGCTTCAGTCTTGCTATGTTTACCTGGACTTTTAAATCATAGGCTTCTTTTCTCGCTGTTAATGATTCCTTCCTTTCTTATCGCCAAACTTCATCTTCCTCCTGCTTGTTTATTCTTTGTATGCTTCCTGTATGATTGGCACTCCTGCCGATGAGAATCTTCAATTTTTATTTTACAGGTTGTATCGCATCTATTATGGCATCTAACATCTGGAATTTACTTCTTTGAAGCATGCTCTTCTATTGTGATTTGTCAATATACAATTGATTTTCCGTTTCATTGAGTGCTAACTTTATTATAAGTTTGGAGTGGACTGAGTTCCTAGATAGAAACGGAGATTATGCATTGTTTAATTGTGCGGTAATAATGTCTAGACTTATACATCAGGAATCCGGTAACTTCCGTAGCCGCTTGATGTTAAATTAAAATTTGTTGCACAACCACTTGAAATTTGAGTTACAATACGTAATTAACGGTACAAACTTCGTATAGTCTTCCTTGCAGATTTTCGGAGGATGCAAAGATGTGCGACAGAAATGTTTTAGAAATAGATTCCTGACCTGTTTAGATTTCGACTTCAATGCACCTGTCAAAGAGGTATCACCATTCTCAATGGCATTGATGAGCACGAAGTTGCGGTAACACGTTACAGGTAGATTCTGAACGTTAACCTCGTTCAATTGTGATACAGAGTTGTGACTCGATGAACAGATGGGATTAGGAAATTCAAGTCTGAAGATGAATCCTGTTGGCACCATGCAAACGAATGATTCGGGTGCATGCACATTGTAGCCTGCTAACTTAGATTGCAATCGAAGCATTCGGTCACGCAGATCAGATTCTCATGGCTGCAAGTCGGCACGTTTGCTATTCTGAGCTTGACGAACGAGAACCAGGTTCCTTATACCCAACGTAAGATACTCACACCTAAACCATTCAGCTCACCTTCCAATGTTCTACATTGTAAATTGCTAATCTGGGAACAGAATAATTACTTAGGTTTATCAGCTATGTTGACCTCCGTAGTCGGGAATTCCGTGTGCTTCTTCCTCAGCTACATTTCACTCCATGTTGTATCCACACTGCCTCCTCTGGGCAACTTGGTTGGAATGTGTTGACACATTTGAATGTCAGCTTCGCACCTCTTGGAACTTGGTAAAAAAATATTTTCTTAGCGTTCTTTTGCTTAGAAGTCCAAGACATTGCAAATTGGATCTATCACACCTCCTTGCTATTTCAAACCCTTCTTCAAAGATTCTCAATGACATGAAAAATTTGCTGATTGAATCGGACGCAAGTGGTTAGGGTTTGTTCCAAGGTACGTCAGGGGAGCCTCTGAAAAATGTTCTGTTGAAGAGATTACCTACACTTGAATATCTCTTGAATGGTGACTCCTCGGATTCGACGACAATGGTGAAAGTAGATGCATGGAAGAAACTCACCTCCGAATGATATGCTTAGTTAACAACCTTCCACTAACATCACCGAACCTCACTTCCTTCAGTCATTTAGTTTTATTAATTCTTTCTCATCTCTTTTGTGTCCATCTTTCCCACACATGACAATCGACTTCTCTTGATTGAATACAATGGGTGCTCAAGATAATATTGGTTAATATTTCAAGGGTGAGGCGTCACCTCATGGAGAGCACCGCATGGCAGGAACCCAGTTAACCCACAAGTGTTCTTCGACATCACGATCGGGGGAAAGAGCGTGGGTAGGATCGTGATGGAGTTATTTCACGACGTGACGCCCAACTGCGCAACTAATTTCAAGGCATTGTGCACGGGGGAATGCGGCATGGGAAAAGTGCACAAGAAGCCCCTCCACTTGAGAGGAACGAGGTTCTTCCGCATCGTGCCCGGGTACATGGCGCAAGGGGGAGACATCGTCCACGACAATGGCACCGAGGGGGAGTGCATATGGGGCAGCCGATTTGCCGACGAGAACTTCGAGCGGAAGCACATAGGATGTGGCACCATCTCCTATGCCAACAAAGGCCCTCACACCAATGTTTCCCAATTCTTCTTCGCCCTCGGCGCCTGCCCGTGGTTGGATGGCCGATACGTTGTGTTCGGCCAAGTGCTAGAAGGCTTCGACGTTCTGAAAGCCATGGCGACTGAGGCCGGATCCATCGCTGGCAAAACTACGCAAAAAGTTCTCATAGCAAACTGCGGGACTTGGAATCCTCTAGAGTTGAAGGAAAAAATGAATGCTTCTTTGGACGACTGGAAAAGCTTTTGAAAGAGTAGAAAGTAGAGTAAAAAGTGATGCGGCATGGAGTTGAAACTTAACCATTGTTTCTACATGATGAGATCGTGCTTATTGACTACATATAATACTCAATAATGCATGTACCCTTGAAATCACGGCACGAAGCCATAGAATGGGATTGACGTAAATTTGGTGTGCGACTCTTCAACAACATCCCTTACAAAAATAATACACAGTAAAAAAGAAAAATAAAACCTAAAATAAAACCAATTGCTAAGAATGTCTGCTAGATGTCAAGGATTGTTCCGTTTCTAAATTTGCGGTATATAAAGTCGATACTGGCAAACAAACACAAGGTTTTGTTGGTCAGTCAATGATAAAATATCATTGGGAAAAAAAAAACTGACATACTTCCAAAACAACACCACTTTACAATACGTAAAAAGTCCTTAAAGGCTGAGCATTCATTTGAGTTTACTAAAAATGGTGTTTGATCGCTACAACAAGAACCGGGGCTCTTCAAAACTCCCGCAGATTGTGGAACGTGTGGCACACACAAACTGGGGATGAACTATCCACAAGATCTGCTGAGGGTCTCACAGCAAAATCAGGGCTGCAGTGACTGTTAGGGTTAACCAGGGAAACGGTTCAATGTGACATTATAGCCCCAGATAAGATACAACACATATGCTGTGAATGAAACTCCGCCATGTGGGAGATCTTGAGTTGTCGGCCCGTACCCATAATAGTGGCCACTGTGAGAAGAAGAAATGGCGGGTGGGATTGCTGGCTAATTTAGCTGGACACGATGAGGAATCAGGCATTCCAAAGAGGGTGACGAAGTAGAAGGCGCCCCAATGGGCTTTAATGGATCCAAACGTGGCCACACACTTATCCCTAGATTCTGCCCCATTTAGACCTATTCCCGTATTAAGGTCGCCCTAGCGGGGTAACATGGCCTGGTTCTGCCCCCTCCCCTATGACCGCCGATGGAACCAGTAACGTCAATTTGGTGTGAGGACCAATGAGGGTGGGGACTATAAGCATTGGATTTGGGGGGGGGGGCTCTCTTTTCTCCAATGATTGTGATTTCTTAAATGGATGCGATGGCCACAATGGCGACGATGGTCTGCGGGCTTTAAAGATGCTGCCCCAATTTCAACTTAGATTCAGGGCTTTCTGGGTACATGCAACTCGTCTTCATTTTTAAAAACAAAACCTCTCAATTTTGCCTGTAATCCCACCAAAGCAGCTCATGTTTCAGGCGTTTTTTTAGGTTTCTTCTTGCGACTTGGTTGTTGCAGGGAAGATGCATGACAATGTCATCACAGCATCTGTAGTATGCAAATCAAAAAGTTGATTTTGTCAACATATGTGCTAAGAATATTAATTTGTTGTGCAGAATGTAACCTCAACAGTCAAGCATTGTAACCCTTTCTTTTGTCAAACTAATTTGAGCAGTTCTGATAATGGGTTTATAATGAGAAAATTTCGGACGGCTTTCTGTTTTTCAATTAAAGTTCACACACAAAGGGCATGAGGTAAAATTCGTTGACTAAGTACTAGGATATTGAACATTCTAATATTTCTAACTATAAGGATGAAGTTATGAACCCTGCAGGGTCACTACTATTGTTGAATGTTGAAGGTATTGTTACTGTTTGAAATATTCAAAAGGTCTCATAATCATCATTCCTTAGTTGCTAATAGAAACAGAGAAAATAAGGCATCTGATGAGATTTGAATGAAACCTGCAATTGAGTAGAATAATGGTGAACATTTTAAGAAAACTTATGATTCAGGCGGCTTTAGAAAGTTTACATTCCTTTTAAGAAATACATTGAGCGGCTTTCAGCAGCAACCTCAAAATAAAGTAAACTTGAACCTGCATTTGTGTGTGTACTTTAAACAACAATTATTATATATTTATATATTTAAAATAAAATATCTTTTAACTTTTTGAAACATAAGGTGGTTAATCCTATTGCCAATAAATGGATTCCAAAAAAGAAGATAATTAATACTATCATTGAGGTGGGATATACTTACCTTAGGTAGTAGAATATAATCTCACCTCATATTTTTTTCCTCTCTTCTTAAACCTATTTTGTTTTATCTAATAGGAGTCTTTTATAAACTTTTTTCAGGTATTTTAGTTTATTTTAAGGTCTTCTGCCAATCAAGATTTTATGTTTTCCTTTGATATATCCTGCCATAAATAAGAAACCTGAATCAAATTACCTTATCAATTTTTTTTATTGAATCAAACTTTTTACACAAAGATGAAGTTATTTCATTCTTTCCTATTTGTCCAAAAACAAGATTCAACTATCAAGGACCCAATTACTTTGATTTTGATAATGTTTCCAAGGGTTTCATCAAATATAATCTGTTGAAGCTTTAAAATAGGCAATGGAGTATTTTATAGCATTTTTGTATTAATGTAGTACATAATAGTTGTTTTTCATATTCATCTTTCTTGAGTTCTATGACAGGTCCAAAATCTGAGAAAAACTACCTCTAATGCATTCAAAGAAAACAAGGAGCAACAATTCTCCTATCTATTTCATATTATCTATCTCAAAGCATTTTAAACCATTCTTAAATACCAAATTGTATATAAAAGTATAACCTCTTTTCTTGCGTGAGTTTAATCCAATATTACTGATTAGTTTATATAAAAGTCAAGATCATGGGATCTTCTTGACTTAGTAATTTATATTAGAGATTAAAGATTGCATTTTGTTAAAATATGTTTTAATATATATATATATATATATATATATATAGTATTATATTTAATTGAAGATCATTTTCTCCCAATGAGAAGTTTTTTGAATCAACAACCAATTTCTCCACAATTCCAAAGAAAATCAAAAGTTTTTGTATTAAAAGATTATATTATTAGTATTTAATTATTCTACCTATATCATTCAATGTAGATAGATGCCAAATATATTGAATCTAGTTTTTTGTTTATTTCCATTTAGTAATACATTAAGTTCTTTTTTTAATTTAAGTGATTTTTTATTAAAAATATTCATATCAAAGAAGTATTTTGTAATACTTTATGCATTGCATCACTTTGCCAAAAAATAGGAGAGTGGAGTAAGCAGTTCATACTTGACAAATCTGCAACTAAACTTTTATATCATGTAGGTAGTAGCCATTCATCACATAAGTGGACAATCATTGTTCTTCATGTTGTAACATTAGTTGCTACCATATATGGTGATGATTGGAATAAGTATTGTCTTTACAAATCTTGTATTATGCTCTTGTAATAGGTTGTTTGAAAGATGTGAATAAGTAAATTTAATCTAGTAGTATCATTGGGTGCCTTCCTATCCATTGTCAACTATCTATATAAAGCTAAATTGCATTGGAGGAAAGAAATGAATTATCAACTTGTAGAGCAATTGTAAGTAAATGGAATAGTTGATATTTTTGCTTTAATATGATTGATCTTTTGCTATTTGACTTTTTGATACTTTGTTCAATATAGTTTCAATTGCCTACTAACATCTATTTGTAATCCCTCGATAGATCCACAAACAGCTCCCGTCACAATTTATATTATTTTGGATCAATTTGCAGAGCATATATATTAAGCAAATCCATATCTCCTCACAAAATTTTGTATATTCTTAGCCATTGTGCTCTCTTGGAGCAAAACAAGTGGACAAACAAGACTAAATGGTGGATTTTGGATGAAATCTACATGTATATTTTATTAATGCTAACACCATTCTCATGTTGATTATAATTATAAGTTATCATGGCCTCTTATCTATAAAAATTGATACTTGGCTAAATTTTATTTTGAATAGCTACCAAGTTTGACTCCCATAATTTATGTTTTTAGAAACATAAAATTCTAATCTAATAATATATGAATTAAAAGAATTCCATATTATATTTATTTTAGCCAAATTATTAAGGCCTTATATATTTTACAAAATTATAGAAATCTTTATGCAAAGGCAAGAGTGAAAGAGATGTCATATTGCTTACTTATTAAAGACATGAATCTTAGAAAACTAAAGATAAATATAGTCTTGTATCACTCAAAAAGACTAGAGAATTATTCAAAGATAGTGTAATATTAAACTAGAATAGCTATTGTCAAAGATGAGAAGATTAAATTGTCTTGAAACAAGACTAAGGACTAAGCATTGACAAGAGTGAAGAAGGCTTCATTCTTGCCTCTATATATACTATCTAAATAAAATTTATATAAGAACATTTTATAGGACCTCCAATACATGTCCAATTTGTAAGACATATGTCTTAACTTGCAAAGCAAGTTTCTTATATGCGTTCTATATTATTAGCTTATATAACAAGCTACTCATATGTGTGGTACATGGCTAAGTTGTTAGCCAAGTTTCTTACCTATCAATCAACTATAAACATGTATAAAGTCAAATATATGTCTATGAAGCTTCTAAAACATTTTGCTACATAATAATATCACATCTATATGTATTTACATTCTACGTGGAACTTCTTATCTAGATAAATATATATATCTATGACATTACTTATCTAATTTCAGACTACTTATAGTAGCATCGCTTGGTATTAATACAACTTCTATGATTATTGGTAAGCAGTGACCTTTGATTATTGGTTCAAGTGATTTATAGCTTAATTGGATGATTAAAGAAGAGAGTGGCAAGTTTAATAGATCATTTTGTATGCCTTAGTCATTAAACTACTTATGAAAAATAGATTTAAGGAGGATTGATATTGGCCTTGTTGTTCTTTTCAAGGTTCTAACTCATACTCTTAAGAAGTAAAAGGTTCCTTCCAAATAAATTTTGGCTACAAATTAAATTAGGTTTTATATCACATATGTCTCTAATGTGGTTGTACTTGATATGATATTGGAATAAGTTTTAGAATTATTTTCTTTATTTAAGTCAATATCAAGATAATAGCCATTGATTCCATGAATGGGTGTTTAGCTTCCTTGAGAGATCTTGTTACATTGTATGGCATTGACTTCTACTACCTTCTCTTTGTCT